CGCGGCGCACGCGAATTTTCACCGTTGTAAATCCTGTGCGTCATGCGCTCGGACGGCTTATAGAGTCGCGATCGCGCCCAAAGATATTGCGCCTTCGTCATGCAGCAGCCTATAAGTATCGATGCGTTCGGGCGCATCGTTCGACGTGACATGGTGCAGGCTTTTCCGTTCTTTTTGATGCGCGTGGCGCAAACCGAAGCGATACAGCGCCCGACCAATCCACGTATTCCACGTCATGTTGAAGGAAGACATATGGGTTGATATCGAGGGTAAATGACTAACGATAAGAAGGAGGAACCCGAGGTCACCATGGCGATGTCATATGGGATGTATTTGGAGATCAGACTTCTTTATCTTATGGAATACCAGACGCTGCAGATGCTTATAACACTGCCCAGGCCAGCGGAATATGGAACACCCGCGGTCGACCTTGAGTGTTCCATCTTCCGCTGGTCTGAGCAATGTTGTAAACATTTCAGGGACTTGCCAGGTGCAAAGGTTGGCACCTACGGTCGCTATAACTTGCCTATACCTTCATGTCTATGGTAAAGGTCCTATTCTCTAGCATAAACCCTTTTTTACCGCTTTCATGGTGATGATTGCTGTATCATGTGTTCTACTCAGCAAGAAGTTGGGATATATTTTGAATTTTTGAATGCGCAGTCCCCCGATATCATTGTACATTCACTCGCGAAAGCCTATTGACAACCAGTTAGATTTTCTCAATGTGGTGTATGTGTCCAGTGGTAATGGCGTACAAAGTGTTCTGTAAGTCCAGTGGTAGACTGAGGAGGGGAAGGGGAGCGGGGGAGGGGGAGGGGAAGAATGGGTTGCGAATTTGGAATTTATTACATGGGTTATGAAAAGTAACTTGTTTATTCTTGTGAATATTTGAAGTAGTTTTTGAAATTTAAAAGCTTACGTTAGCCTCATAAAAAAATTCTAGACTTAAGGGTTATGGACCCGCAGAAATTTTGAGAAGCACCCCGGAAAATTTTTTGAAGTTCGTGGCTAGCGAAACGCACCTTCACTTCAAATAAAATTTTGCCCTCCCCCCCCCCCCCCAACCCGGATGGAAATCCTAGGACCGCCACTGCGTAAGCCGACTAGTAAAAATATTCTTATTCATTATAGTTCAGCACACCAGTGTAACATGAAGCGTTACGTCATTATTGATATGTATAAGACTGCTAGAAGGCTTTCTTCCGACATACAGGAGCGAACAACATCTCTACAGCTAGATCTATTGCGGTTTCTAATGGATACCCAGCTGACATTAATTCTTATCGCGGCATGCCATATAGTAGCACATCACCTTTTGCATACCTTCGTTGCAGACGACCTCAGCGCGGAGGCCAGCGCATGTCTGTATTGAAGGCCTTTGAAAATATCTGAGGGTTATTGCATTCCTCTCCTAACTTAAAGGCAGTGTCCAGGCAAATCTGAGCGCATGGGTTTTTTGCCTGGAAACTGATGAGGGGTCTTAGCTAAGGCACTGCCCAAACGGCAGCGCAAATCATTCATTTACGGCTGAGAAATTCATTCGCAAACACTCCGCGCCTGCGCCGTGACCGTAACCCGGAACTGACTTCGCTCACTTTGACATTACGTTCGCAAAGTGACTGTAACTCGCGAGTAAGAGTGGATCCCAGTGGTTTGGGGACGGGTTTCTCAGCCGAAATGAATTATCTCCTGCCGCTTGGGCGGTGCCTTAGTTATGTTCTCCTCATCAGTTTCCAGGCGAAAACCCCATGGGATCAAATTTGCCTGGACATTGCCTTCAAAAAGCAGTTGATACCCAATCTTACTTATGACAACATTTGCACAACTCCTAATTGCATGGTACGTCCGTATGGTGGGCCTGCTGATTGCATGAGAGCGGAGTGGTCTATCTTATCACATGTTAATCGTATGGTGAAGAGTAGTGGGTCAGAGCAACCGGTGTGCATCCGGATCAAAGAGCACCTAGACAGACTCGACAGACCTGCGCATAGTGATGCCAGGTTACCTCCATACAAGATTTGGTTTTTTGCCATTTTGTGTGATCCCCAAGGGATCCCCAGAGGATCACACAAAATAGTAAAAATCGTACTTTTCCGTTATTCGGACCCATTTTTTCAAAGAAGGATATTGCTTTTTTTCTTGTACCATAAGGTCCCAAATTCACAGGAAGGAGTGTCAACCTTCTGCCACATGTCGAAAAATGACATGTCATTTACATGTTGAACAGGTTTTACTAAGGTTCTGTTTTGCACTACTTAGCGGCGTTAATTCTTGCTGTATTTAAGTCAATAGTGACCCATTTTCAAATAAAAAGTTTCAGAAATGAATACTGTTACAATATAATCTCATCTTGTTATCATTGATCAGATTAGATTCGCTCAGAAGGGAGAATTGTGTTAGGTTTCCATTATAGAAGCGGCGAAATAGGCAGCAGCGCGATACCGCCCGCTATCTTTTATAGTCTCTCCTGACTAAATCGCATGGCGGAAAGTTTCCGATGCAATTGTCTGAGATAGGGAAATTGAAGTGGGTTTTAAGAAATCAAGAGCCGCATTTTGCCCAAGGAAGGGAACCGAAAGGCCAGAAATCTTAAACTTCTAAAAGCACTCATATCAGGTTGTCCCATAAATTCCGTTTTCAACCAATCGCAATAACTCATGAACTTCTTGATTCTATATAGATTTTAACGTACCAATTGATAGAGCAAAGCAGGCTCTACAGGATCGTGCTTTTGTTTTCGCACCAATTCAATACTTCTCGAGTTTGAAGCCAAAAATTAAAAAATCCAACCGCCCAAAAAATAAAAAATCGTAACTCCATCCAAAAAAATCTTAGGAAATTCCTAACTCGCTCAGAGATACACTATCCACATCAGACATTTACTTATACTGTTGCTGGATTTTTTCCTTGGACAGAAATCGAAAAAACGAAAATTTTCATGTTTTTGCCAAAGTGATGCTGTTTCCCACATTGGTAGTTGTATACTACAGATCACTACAAGTACAGACGTGAATTTTAGCTTTTTACAGGCTTTAGTTCTCGAGAAGCATTGAATTTAGCCTCGCTTAATGGGTATCCCATACACGAATATTTCTCGAGGACTAAAGCCTGTAGAGAGCTGAAAAATCACGACCATACGTTTATTGGTCTGTAGTATACAACTACCAATGGGGAGCAGCACAGCATCACTTTGGCAAATATTAGGTCGTCCCGAAAGTTCTTGCGCACGATTTTCAAAAATTCATAACTTCTGATTTTTCTAATCGATTTGACTGCTTTTATTTTTGTGTGAAAGAGTGAGTCAAGCTCTTTATAAAAACATCTTAGCTGCTTGCTAAATGGTCATCTGTTGCTTAGATAGGAGCGATAAAAGAAAATTGGTCAAAATTTGAACTTTCTGTGTAGGGTCATAAAAATTCGGAAAATTGCAACAAAAATCGGAGCAGTCAGTGTTGTAGGTGCTTTTGTTAGCTCTTTCTAATGGTGCAAAGTTTGCGCTGATTGAGCGTCTCTATCAAAAGTTACAATTTCCCTGAAAAATGCCAAAATAAATCAAAATCGCCCTTTTGTATTGCTTGCTCAAAAATTATAACTTTTGATAGAGACGCTCAATCGACGCAAACCTTGCACCATTAGAAAGAGCTGGTAAAGGAACCTACAATACTGACTGCTCCTATTTTTGTTGCAAGTTTCCGATTTTTTATGACCCTACACAGAAAATTCAAATTTTGACCAATTTTCTTCTATCGCTCCTATCTATGCAACAGGCGATCATTGGTAAGCAGCTAAGATGTCTTTGTAAAGAGCATGACTTACTCTTTCATACAAAAATAAAAGCAGTCAAATCGGTTGGAATAATCAAAAGTTATGAATTTTTGAAAATCGTGCGCAAGAACTTTCGGGGCGACCTAATACATTGAAATTTTCGTTTTTTCGATCTCTATCCAAGGAAAAAATCCAGCAACAGTATAAATAAATGCCTGATGTGGATAGTGTATCTCTGACAACGGAAGGATGGTCAGTCGAAGTGGCCTTCTGTGATGATTCATATACCATACTGGAGAGCATAAAACCTGATTTTAAATCTGTCTTCCTTATCTGCGGCGCATTCCTGCACGAGAAGTTATGAGCGTTTATTTGAGAAAAAACTAAATGTGCAAATAATATTAAAAACAATAGTAACATTATTCCTAGCGCTTAAATGGACCAGCGGTAATCTTTCCAACACTCTATAGAATAAATACTTTTAGGTGAGATATATCCGCCCTCCGGCTTTCTCATTCAAGCGCTGGGAAAATATTAGCAACTGTTTTTATCCCAGAAAAACACTCATTTTTTTTGCTCCTTCAAACGCTCATAACTTCTCGTCCAGGAACGTGCCGCAGATAAACAAGAAAGATTTAGAATTAGCTTTTTATGCTCTCCACCAGGGTATACAACCCATCTCAAAAGGCCACTTCGACCAACCATCCTTTCCTTTGAGCAAGTTAGGAGATTCTGGGATTTTTTTGGACGGAGCTACGATTTTTCTTTGTTTTTGATGCGGTTAAATCTTTTTAGTTTTTGGCTTTAAATTCGAAAAATATTTGAGTGCGAAAGCAAGAGCACCATCCTGTAGAGCTTTGCTCTATCAAATGGTACGTTGAAATCTATCTAAAATCAAGAAGGTTATGAGTTACTGCGATTGGAAATTGAAACGGACGAAACTTATGGAACAACCTGATACATCCTAAAATAGAGGATATTGCTACCTCAAAAGCCTGTTTCGAAAAGTTCATGATAAAGCACTGAAACTTCCACCTAACTCCCATCTGTTAGCAATTCGCTCCTCATGTTCACTGCTCCTCATGCTCAACCAAAATCTTTTGACATCTGTCAATTTTTGTACCACTCAATGTTAGGGGTTTTCTAAACTAACTCTACTACAGTTACAATAAGAGGTTTTTATAGCAACAGACCTTATTGTTTTGCTTTTAATACAAACTCATCTCGTTTAGGGAGGCAAAAAGTTCCGCACAACTTATAAGGATGGAATGGCTGAGCTAATTGTGAAAGATGTTGACGCACTTTCCTCTGGAGTGTACTCCTTAATAGCGAGCAGTCCGGAAGGAACTGACTCTACCGAAGTCAAGCTCTGTGTCAAACGTTAGTCTATACTGAATCTCGCTCATCAGAGCTTCAACTCATTCTTTAGAAGCACCACAAGCTCCGGCAGGCGCTCTTGAAGTAGCCGTTGAAGAAGCAACTTGCAAATTGTCGTGGAAATCGCCAAAGGACGAGGGCAACAGCCCTGTCATTGGGTATGTGGTAGAAAAATATGACGAAAAACTGCGAAAGTGGAGTTTCCTCGCTCGTACGGATTTAACGAGCTATGTTACCGGTATGATTTTTTTGACTTTTCTTTTTCTTGTTTCCCTTATCACAGACTCACAATGCTGTTATCGCGAATGAATAAATGTTGATAATGAATTGACACTGAACCATATGCGGCTGACTTTTTTCTCAACCGCCTGCGTTTTTACAATTAAAAAAAGTGGTTAACTTTTTTATATCAATGCTCACCTTTCGTCAACTGTTGAGGCGGTATCACAATCTTCATTAGAACATAAGACTGTGTTAGTTGCTCTAACCCTTGCAAAATATCAATTGGTTCTCAAAATCGACCACGAAAACTGGGGACGGAGAGCTATCAAACTATAACCTGGGTTGTAAATCTATATAGGTACAATAACAGCGCTTTATAAGCAAAGTTTTGAGATTCATCGAAGATATTTTTGCAAAACCATAATATGGGGAGAATTCATAAATAGGGTTGTTCGAACATAACTTTTTCCTGTTAGCAAACACACTACATGTTATAATCGTATCCCTACATCCATTATGAACATGAAGCAGGATAATTGCCCCTCCCCTTGTTCTCCCGTGTGCACACTGGTGCTATCAAAAATGTTACTTGTTTAGATGGACAAAAATTTGGTTCCGTACAGCGATTCCGGGTAGCTGCTGAGAATGATGTGGGAGTCGGTCCCTTTGTCGAATCCGAAAAAGTCAAAATCAGACCAGGTAAGTTTTGCATAATTTCTGCCTACTAGATCATAACAGGAACACTATTGCAGGTGCACTGTCTCTCGACTTGGATAAGCCTGTCGTGACGCCTTCTGGTGTTTCGATCGTCGCAAAATGGAATCCGTTACCCATCGATGGTGTCAAATACCTCGTCGAAGTCAAAGAGGTAACTAAAAGCTTTCAAATGATTTAAACGTCAAGTTTCATGATTCTAGGCCAAATCGCGACGACCATGGACTGCAGTCAATGTACCAGTCTACGGAGACTCTTACGAGATAACGGGTTTGACATCAGGGGCAGACTATACCGTCAGAGTCACTGCCATAACACCTGAGGCACAAGGAAGTCCATCGGAAGAAAGCAACGTGTTTAAATACGAAGAGCTCAGAGGTTTGTTTAGCGTTAGAGTGATTAATGACATCACATTCCCCCGAATCCTTAGGATGGGTGCATGAAAGAGCCACTGTGGCTGGTATCTTTTTTCGCCTTTCACCGGCAGGGGAGGCAGGGGAGGGGGGGGAGAGGGAAGAGGTAGAACGGGAGCTCTTCTATACGAATGGGACTTAGTCATGCTTTTCAAAAATTTAGGAAGCCTCGGACTTCTTTGCAGAAGTCCGAGTAAGAAGAAAAGGGGAGGGTGCTTATCTATTAGGTTGGCACGAAAGTTCTTGCGTAATTCAAACAAAATTGAATAACTTTTCAAAGACTAAACCTAAATTCACAACCTTGTATGCTAAAAATATTAGAAGTCTTACGCTTCATGATGGATGTTTAAGCATAAGATTCCGTGAGCTGGACATTAAGAACGAAGCTCTCGATGGGGCTTCGAATTTTGCGATTTTGAGTTTGGTGCCAGAAAATTGCAGAGTGCCGCTAGCTAGCCGAATAAAATCTTTAGAGTTTACTTACACAACAAAAGTCCATGTGTTACTTTGGAAGGCTTTGATCTTGCACGGTGAAGGAAAAACAAAAAATTCGTGAAATATGTCATTTTGCGGAAAAAAATCCCCTCATGTCCGCAGTTTTCCGGCGAAAACACTTTTTTACAATCGAGAAAACGTCGCAAGGCTCTAAATAGGCACTACGTCTAATTCCTGGTTGCAAAATGTGTTTCTGTGGAAAAGTTAGAGCGATAAGGGGATTTGTCCTGTGAAATGAGAATTTTCACAAATTTTTTGTTTTCGCGTTCTCATGCGAGATCAAAGCCTGCTAAAATAACGTATGGACTTTTGCTGTGTAAGTAAATTCTACAGATTTTTTTCGGCTAGCTAGCGGCACTCTGCGATTTTCTGGCACCAAACTCAAAATCATAAAATTTGAAGCCCCATATTCGAGAGCTTCGTTCTTGATGTCCAGCTCACGGAATCTTACGCTTAAATATCCATCATGAAGCGTAAGGCTTCTAATATTTTTAGCATACAAGGTTGTGAATTTAGGTTTAGTCTTTGAAAAGTTATTCAATTTTGTTTGAATTACGCAAGAACTTTCGTGCCAACCTAATATCAACAAAGAACTGATCATATTTTTGATTTTGCAGAAAACGAAAAACCTTCGTTTTTGATCATTCCGGAGGAGACTATCATACAGAAAGGTGCAAAGCTAAAAATTACAACAGAATACAAAGGTTTTCCAATGCCAGAAGTTCAATGGTTCAAAAACAAAAAGGTCAGTTTTCACATCATTATCATGTTATATTTTTAGGAAAAAAATTGTTCCAGGAAATGTTTTCTGGGCAGCGACTGTGGATTGAGACGACATCCGGCGTTTCGACGTTTAATATTGCAGATACGCGAGAAGATGATGAAGGAGATTATTCGGTGAGTGGACCTACTCTTCATTCGTACTACAAAAACGGAAGAAAATTCTTCGATTATCCGCAAATCGTCATAATCTTCATAAGATTTCTTTTAACCACCTCATCCTTGAGTCTTGACATTTCAGTGTAAGAAACTTTTTGCCCTGTTTTGCGCATGTAGCATTGAGAATACCACGTATAGTCTGTATATGAATCAGCACTACGTCGATTATATAACAAGATCTATACAAAAATGAATAATCAAGGAGTTTGAAAATATACGTTAGGAAGACTCAGACAAGCTCTTAACGCATTCTTCGATTATCAGTGACGGAGTTCAATCTAGAGCAAAAACCATCTCAGTTTTTCTCTCCATACCTAAAGTGCAAATGGCTCAGAATCTTGCATTTAGGAGTTTGGTTGAGGGGGGGGGGGAATATGTAAAGATTAGAAAAAAGAGGAAGCATGCTCATCAAAGTCTCCCGCAATTTTTAACGGTCTAGAGCTCAAAATGTCAAAAATCAATAAATTTGGGTCAATCGATATTTTTTATTAGGCAAAAGCTTATAATCTGTTTCGTCAGGTCGTAGCTGCAGAGAGTCCAAATCTTTTATGCTTTCTCTCAATTTGGGGAGAGCAAATATCAAGCGACATTTTACTGCAGAAAATATCAACATCCGCCACTACCGTGAACTTTTTCTGTTTGAATTTGAACCCCATAATTCTTTCTATCATTCCAAGAAACATTTCAAAAAATTACTAGGTCAAATACTGCATATGAGGCTTGCAAGAGAGGTCGTTTGGTCGGAGTGGCCTTTTCACATGTATTGATAGATCTATAAAGAGCATCGAACGCTGATGCCAAATCTGTCTTCATTATCTGCCGTGCGCCTCTGGACGCCGTCGAGCTATGAGCATTTTTTTGGGTTGAAAAACTGAATGCATAATTAGAACAGATTTCGTCAGAAATGCTCAAATTATCCAATGTTGATTATCTGAGCACTCCATCTGAAGAATACCTTCTGTCCAAAACTTTCATACTTATGTAACATTGCTCTGTTTGCGCCGCTTAAAAATGCCTAAAAGTTGATTTCACCTAGATTATGCGTTCGTTTGTCGCACCAAAATATTCGTAACTCGGCATGCAGAGGCGCTCGGCAGATGTTGAAATAGATTTGGAATCAGCGTTCAATGCTCTTCGAATTGGTATAAGGCTCATTTGGAAAGGCCTTTTCAACTATTCGGCCTCCCTTGTCAGTGCTTCTCTAGCCCCTCAACTTGGTTACGTGCGAATTCCCTTGTAAAATGTCATGTGTGACTTGAACCACATTCGGAGCAAACATCTTAATGTGAAAGAAGCCCGAAGATGCACTTTGCATCCCAAGGAAATGTAAGATTAGACAGATCTGAATTATGAATTAGCAAAACTAAGAATCGTACACTTTTTATCACGCAGCTGAAATTGTACTCACTGCTACGTAGAAGTGTAAGAGGAAGCGTGTTGGCCTCGATTGAAAAAACGGAACGCGGAAAGTATAATACTCGTGAACTGTCTATTGATTCCTTAAGCCCACAATTGCTAGCCCAACTGTCGTACTTCAGCCCTCCAAAAATATCGTAGTTCTCTTTCCTGCATTATATTTTTCCTTGAAAAAGGGGAATAAATCACTAGCTAACAAGTTATTTGCTGGAAAATTGTGATTACACGTTTATTGTCAACAGCAGAGTGACTACACGTCTTTCAGGAAATGTAATAGATCATTACAATTTTTCAGAGATTTGTAACTTTTTCAAAGCTAAAAAAGCTAGAAAGACTCTAAATGGTTGCCAAGCACTGCAGCTGACTACTTTGAATAGTCACTGCAGTGGTGTCATAGTGCCTCGGATCCTATGAAATATTGGGGTGTAGGGCGTTAGGCGACAACCCAATTTTTCGGACCCCAGAAAAATCCCCGTGCAAAACGTCTCCTGGGGCAAAAACAGGGGGGTGGGGGTCGGGGGCCGATACATTACCCGACGCTATTGAAAAAATGGCACATAGTTTTGAGTAACGGGAATTACGTTACTTGCGTTTTGCACGTTCTGTCGCCTAACGCTTGCCCTCCGAAATATTGGACTTCTGACAGAGTCGACATTTTATCTTATATATAAAGCTGAATGTCTGTTTGTATGTATGTCTGTATGTCTGTCTGTGTGTACGTATGTCTCGAATAGAAAATTCCATTTCTGAACCGATCGGGACCAAACTTGGCACACATACACTTCGGGCCCCGGCGGGTGTCATAGGCTACTTTTCGTATCGATCGATATCGTTTTTATCGATTTTTTGCAAAGTTTGAGCTACGGGGCTGGGATTTGGCACAGGGGGGTAATCGAGCATGCTGATCACCCCCGTGGGGGTGATCAGCATGCTCGATTACACCCCCCCCCTGCCAAATTCCAGCCGCCTAGCTCAAATTTTGCAAAAAAAATCGATAAAATCGATAAAAGTAATGCACGGTTTCGAAAACTAATATTGTATTCGTAATCAGCATGCTCACTTACCCCCCTGTGCCAACTCCCAGCCCCGTAGCTCAAATTTTGCAAAAAATCGATAAAATCGACATCAATCGATAACGAAAAGTGGACTGTGACACCCGCCGGGGCCCGAAGTGTATGTGTGCCAAGTTTGGTCCGGATTGGTTAAGAAATGGAATTTTCTATTCGGAACATACGGCGGAGCCGGGTAAGCCAGCTAGTTATACATATTATTAGGTCATTCGGAAAGTTTTTTCGCTTTTTGCGCCTTTGATGTTGGTGCCATATTTTAAGAAGGTGCCAGAGGGCTGTAGGGGTTGCTATATATGGTTCTGTAGAGGAAGTCTTCTAGTTTTTGAAGATCCCACCGATGTTGCACAAAACGCTTTGTAGGGAATTTTACGCAGCATTAAATTCGACATACGAAAACGCAATTTTCGAATAATTGTATTCTCTAAGCTTAAACTTGAGTGTAAGACCGTTGAGGAAACCATCATTGTGCGCAATGCATTTGCCAAGACCACGTCTTTCTTGAGGTAGGTTGAAGTGTACTTCAATAAGTTCAGATCTAGAGAAGTGAAAACTAATATTTTGCAGTGTCCTGGACGGAGTTCCTGCCATATAAACGAGCATCTCGGAGGGTCCTCTAAAACAAATCGCAAATATAGCTGCGTAAAATTATCAGCGGGCCTTAAAGTGTCATATAACCCCATTAGAAGCCACCTTCGCTAAAGCTGCAATACCGAAAAATTTCAGTGACATATACTCCACAAGTTGTAGCGCTCGCAGATTGAGGGCGCGTTGACTCTGCTTTCCTCATAATTTTGTATAGCAATCCTTTTCCGGCCTGGGTTATTAATTACAGCAAAAAACTGGCCAAGTACGGCTACATGAAGCGTGTGGTAAATCATTCAGAATAAGCATTAAAAGCATGGCCAGAACAATCAGTCATTCCAAAAGGTTGATGTATTCAAATTGATGCAATCCTGCTGGTCTTGTACGCTATAAAATTGCTAAGATGCGGTTGTACTGTAAGGGCATAGTAGTGTGATATCGCCCTGAAGACCGTTTGTCAAAATCTCAAGACTGAGAGCGGACTTGCACATATAAGCTACTAGCTGGCTTACCCGGCTCCGCCGTATCCGGACCAAACTTGGCACACATACACTTCGGGCCCCGGCGGGTGTCACAGTCCGCTTTTCGTTATCGATCGATGTCGATTTACCGATTTTTTATCGATTTTTTTGCAGAGTTCACCTACAGGGCTAGGAGTTGGCACAGGGGGGGGAAGTGAGCATGGGGATTCCGAATACAATATTAGTTTTCAGAATTATCGATTACCTTTATTGATTTTATCGATTTTTTGTAAATTTTGACATGCGAGGCTGGGATTTTGCACAGGGGGGTAATCGAGCATGCTGATTACGAACACAATATTAGTTTTCAGGATCGTCCATTACTTTTATCAATTTTATCGATTTTTTTGTAAAGTTTGACCTGCGGGGCTGGGAGTTTGCACAGGGGGGTAATCGAGCATGCAGATTACGAATACAATATTAGTTTTCAAGATCGTCCATTACTTTTATCGATTTTATCGATTTTTTGAAAATTTGAGCTAGGTGGCTGGAATTTGGCAGGGGGTGTAATCGAGCATGCTGATCACCCCCCTTGGGGGGGGATCAGCATGCTCGATTACCCCCTGTGCCAACTCCCAGCCCCCTAGCTCAAACTTTGCAAAAAGTCGATAAAATCGATAAAAGTAATCGATAATTCCGAAAACCAATATTGTATTCGGAATCCCCATGCTCGATTACCCCCCTGTGCCAACTCCCAGCCCCGTAGGTGAACTCAGCAAAAAAATCGATAAAAATCGATAAAATCGATATCGAGCGATGACGAAAAGTAGCCTATGACACCCGCCGGGGCCCGTAGTGTATGTGTGCCAAGTTTGGTCCGGATCGGTTCAGAAATGGAATTTTCTATTCGGAACATACGTACACACAGACAGACAGACAGACATACAGACAGACAGACAGACATACATACATACAAACAGACATTCAGCTTTATACAGGGTGTCCCAAAATAATGTGCACACTGTTTGATTGTAAATAACTCTCTTAGTATGAGGTCCTTCGAGAAGCGGTAAGCGCCATTTTGTAGAGCTGGCTTCAACTTAGATTCACAGTATAGAGCGAATCACCGACTGCTCTTCATTACTGTAGGGTTACGGTAGAAACTTGGAACATATGGGTGTCACTATGGAAAAAGCTGCCGTTTCAAAGATTTTCAAAAAGATGTGAAAAATTGTGTAATAGGGTTTTTAGGGACGCTGAGTTCAATACTCAACTATTCTCGAGATTGCGAAGCTTTCTAAACTGTGTAACCGCATTTTTTAGGAACATGGAAAAAATAACCGCTACCGCTTACCTGGCATAACTCTTCAATGAAGCATCATAATAAGTTGGAAACTTTTCAGTTAGAATCAGCAACTCTGATTGGCCTAGTGTAAAAGTTTTCAGGCTGTTTTGATTCCTTTCTGAGGCAAAATATGGCCTTTCATGGCCCAAAACCCTCTTTCAAGTTTCTACCGTAATCTTACAGTAACGGAGAAAGATGGACGATCCGCTCTATACTGTGAATCTAAGTTGAAGCCAGCTCTACAAAATGGCGCTCACCGCTTCTCGAAAGACCTCATATTAGGAGAGTTATTAACAATCAAACAGTGTGCACATTATTTTGGGACACCCTGTATATAAGATGAAAGATGCCATCCACGCCCATGACTCCGCCAAACCACATGTAAGAAAAGTGGCTCTCACAAAAGAGGTTGACTGCGCACCGAGGTTCCTGTTTATATTTCAAACTCTTTAGACCTTCCTTTACCAATCATCAAATTTTCTAATTTCTTGGTGCCTATCAAAAAATAATAGGACCTAATAAAGATTAGCTACTCAAAAACGCCTTTTTAGGCTTTATTGATTCCTCTGAAAATATTTCGCAAGAAAAAAGTATAAGAGGACTACATGAGTGTCACAAGAAATTTACTGAACACAATGCAATTTATTTGATGGAAAAAGGTTGAATCTTGAAAAAATTGTGCTCGTTTGAATTTGGAGGTGCGAAAACGAAAAAACTTTCCGAATGACCTAATAAAAGGATTTTGCGCGAATATCAGTCGCCGAAAATAATTTTGTTTACCCGAAAAAAAGTTCAGAATTTCTGCGAAAAAAATAAGAATAAGAGAATGCATTTGCTCAGCTCTTACTTGATAAATCTATTGGTTGTGCAAGAGTCGATATAAAAAATAAAAAAGCAAGAAAATGTTGGACAAAGCTGAGCATACTGAAGCTTTTGTGGTGTCATTTGGAGAAGGTAATATTGCCCAATTTCGCTAAAGAAGAGACCTGGATCTTATTCTCTCCGCTGTCAAGACTTGACGTCAACTCGGACTTCGTCGCAGAAAACAAGGAAATTCTTGAACTAATGTAATTATCTATCGATTCACTAATTTATGTAAATGGTAGGCAAGAACAATTTCTTTGACTTGAAGAAAGAACATCGCTTGAACCCTAATCTCTTTCAACGTCAGTATTTTCTTCTGCAAAGCACATATTTGCCTTGAATGGATGCCACACTTGTTGCTAAAATGATGGATCAGGATACAAACAAGGTTACGAAATTGCAAAAGGAACGTTCTTGTCTCAAGTTTAAACAGGGCTTGGCACAGGTGGCTTGTAAGCGAGCTGGATATCGTTTTTGGGAGAAAAAGCAAAGGGGTAAAAAACAAAGGGGTATCATTTTTGAGGCAGAAAAGACACAAAAATTGTGAAGTTTTTTACTCGACGTTTCGTTTTTTGAGGGTTCTTTTACGTTTAGGGTTTGGGTCAGAGGGAAACTCGTGAAAATTCGCGAATTTTAAAGGTGACTTACTTTTTTAGCATTTCCAGAAAGCCACCTCGTGCCGAGCCTGAGTATAATTTGCAAAATCGCGACAAGGAAGTCCTTCACGAAAGTTTATAAGGGGCAATTTGAGAAGTTCATAATCTTCCTGGATAGTTTTTTGCCTTGAGAAATAAACTGACCTTCTTAAGACTATAATCTCTTGTATAAACCTATTAGTTCAGATCCTACTGCGAAACGTAGCTGGCACCTCAGAACATAAATTCAAGCTACAAGTGGATACTTTGCCGGAAATCAACCGACCAGATCGATACACCTCGGTGCTCGTCTATGACGAAGGAGAGACTGTAAAGTTGCGACTCACATTCTCAGGTACGAAATCGGTTTACTTAGTGAACGAGAAGGGTGTTTGTACAGGTGCGAAGTAACTGGTAAGTATACATATATCTTTATTTAACAATTCAAACAGTAAGTGCGTATATAACTGACTTCAAGAGGAGAGCAATCACAATAGAACCGGGTGAGCTAGCTGTGGCTAAATGAGTTTTTGACGAAAAAAATTTTTCGAAGTATTTTTGCAGCGTCTAGAGTATCTATTACCTATGTCTACTGTTCCTGATATGTCATCAAAGATATCCCACGTCAAAAAAGAATTGCTTATAGATTAACTAGGGAGTCTACGACGTAGTGAGATGAAAAGTGAAGATTTTTGAACTCGCATACATACACTTTCCTAACTGTTCTTCATTCACACCGTAGATAAAATGAAAAATGCATAATCTTATAGATTACAATTTATCAAAAAATTAAAGAGTAAGAGAAAAGATACCTATACATCTGATATACACGTATTAAGTCTTGGAAACGGGCCAAGTTCCAAATCAAACGAAAAACAATAAAAAAACAGAATTCAATAGCAGTAAGTGTAGGAGCTGAATAGAAGTAGGAGCGCTAGTCTTCATCGCCGTGCAGCATCGCTTGAATGGCGAGTTCTTGCCTGCTCTGGTCGAGCTTAGCCTGTTCCGCTTGTTGTTCGTCCTGAGCCACTTTGATGAAATTGTCGACGATGATCGTAATTGGCAAAGCTAGCACTAGCACTCCACACATTATCGCCGCTGATGCGATGATTTTGCCCACTGAAATTTGATTTTGTAGGAAAAAATTTTGGAGCAATGTATGGTGAACTTCTGCTATCAACAAACTATGTTATCGATTTTGAAAAAATAACAGCGCAGTTTCAAAGTCAATGAAATTTCATCGTTTCATGATTTTACGAGTAAAAACTTTTCTTAGTTGTTCGAAAAGTATGAGGAAAAAACATGAAAATTTTGTTCGACATAACCTTCGCTAATCAAAAAATAGTAAAACGACTAGAAGTGGACTTCGAATAAGCAGAAGCAAATGTATAGGATGAAATAGGATAATATAAATTTCGAAAAGAGAAGAAATAAATTTTGCAAATAGAACGATCAAAAGGCATAAAAGTAAACGCAAAAAATTATGATCAAATTAACTCTTAAGTTTTTTCTGTTATTTTTGTGACTTCTTCTTGAAATGAAACGCTCATGAAATTCTAGATTGTTTTTCAAAAATTTCTATACAAAAGTATTGATTGTCTCCCTCTTTTTGAAAGTTGACGCCTGCCAAAAAGTATGGATGCTAATTAGCCTGCACCCAAAGTACCTCTAAAAATGCTCTGCAAGACCAGTAGAAGTTAAAACGTTACATAAATATTGCATGTGAAAGCAAAAAGCAAACAGAAACAGGTAACATTAACCAAATATACTTTCAAAAGATGTGCAACTCACTAGTTGTTGCCGGAACAGCATCGCCATATCCAACAGTTGTCATTGTCACAATACACCACCAATAGGCTGCTGGTATACTCGTGAAAGGCGTGCCATCCTCATCTTTTTCCAAAAAATAAATCATAGTCGAGAAGAAGACCACCCCGGTCAGTAACACTATCGTCATCATCTGAAGTTGTTTCTGCGACCGCTGTAACGTCATACCAAACGTTTGTAATCCGGATGAGAATCGGCCCAGCTTGATAATCCTGATCACTCGCAGCACTCGAAGTATGCGCACGACAAGGAAAGCCCATCGAAGGTCCCGAAGCTTTTTATCGTCGACACCGCAGAGCGTGAGCAGTAGCTCGAGGTAGAACGGCACGATGGCTAGCAAGTCGACGAGATTGAGCGGTTTAAGTGCGAATCGGAACTTCCGCGGGGCGGCGAACACCCTCAGGCAGTACTCGACCGTGAAAAAGGCGATGCATATCCGTTCGGTAAAAACAAAAGCCGGGTGCTCGACTCGCATTTCCTCCACCTTCTCCACTACGGTTACGGTTCCGTTGGCTAGCACGATGGTGTCGTTATGAGGGGGCATGTAGTGTGTGACCTGCAAGATGTAATTGTAAGAGACTGCTATAATTCCAAAGCGTGAAGTGCTCCACCTGAAAATCCGGGATCGTTCCGAAGCTGAGTCCCATCACCGAGATAGCTACAAATAGGGTAGAAGACAACTCAAAAGCTTTGGCTTGCATCGATGAGCCCGGCCTTTCCAAGAATGTCCACATCCGCCTCCTCACTTTGCCGAACATTAAATTGTCAAATGTAGTGTCATCTACCTGGAGAAAAGCACTTTTGGAAATCGCACACTTCGAATGCGTGGGCACTCTAGACATCCAAAAGACCAGGCAGAGTACGAAAGCATGATTGCACTCATAGATTTACTAGCACTTCGCTAATTTCTATAATTTCTCAAATGCTGGCATAAACGTTCCCCATCCTTCAAAACAGAGCCAAATTCCCAGGAAACAAAAATTTTCCTTCTCGGCTTACCTTCTCGTCTTCTTTTTCTTCTTCGCGTTTTTGTGGCACAATGTCGGCACAACATGAGCCAACATGTTGATGCGAAATACGCCAGAAATCAAGTTCAGTGAGGAATGAAGCTGGACATACCTAAAAAATGGTCATAAGGATCGTACTGTGTAACTCAACAGCTGTACGAACATATGAAGATTTATCATAATGAGAAATGGCTGCTGTTATCTCATCAGAACCATTTCTCATAATTTTCACGTCTCGCCTCGTGAAAATGGATGGAAATGTTTTTTTTGCCACAGATGTTCAACAAATGGACATACTTCTGATGGTCGATGCACTACGCCGGTTGCATAATATTGAAAAATCGCATCGAATGCCACCGGAGATCTCTGGAAGAAGTAAGAGTCCTCCGCTGGGATATAAGCATCCGCAACCTGCAGTGAAAATTATCTAAGGAATATGAGGCATAAACTTCTTGCAAATCACCTTTAATCTAGCTGTGTGGGTGAGTTGGACGAACTTCGATAGAAATCCCGATGGGTCCGCTCTGAGAAGAGCATCGATAAGGAGCATATAACGAGTGCCACCAATATTTAACCGCAAAAACATCGGCTCCCCATCTGGCCCAATCCCACCAGGTGGTATTATCTGGAATTCAAAGGATCTGCCTTAGGAGTCTGCTTTTTTGTAGTTTGTGTTTTTCTTTGGGGCTCTAGCCGAGGCGTCAACGTCGTCCCAAGTTCATTTAGTGCTCTTGTCACACTCTTTTGGCTCTATTAGGAGTGAGGCGACGTTTTGACGACGACAGCAAGTCGAGGCTCGAGTCGCTCAAGTAAATGCTATCCGGCACATCAACACGAATATTTATTGATAGAATGTGAAGAGAAATAAACGAAAAAATTTTAAAAATTTCTAAGCATTACAATAAAATCAATATCAGTAAACACGAAAAACGGTGAACACTGTGGCTTAGAAATCTTAGCTTGTTTCGCTTTTTTTTACACAAAAGTAAGGGTGGAGAATTCACGAGAAAATCCATGGTTCCCTAGTGTAGATTGCTGCACTTCATTTTGGCGATTTTTACAATTTATCATCTCTAGGATCTTGTTTTTGCATAACGTTCGGGAGTAGACGTCATATGGAGATATATTGCATCATATGAATCTCTAAGGGATTGAGTTTTTTTTCTCTGTGGTTTTTTTCTTCAAAGTACAACGGTTTGTAGACCTGCAAGGACGATGAAATGGATTTTTAAGAGCTTGAAAAACTTTAAAATTGTTTTTTTTACACAGGGTTCACAATCTTTTCGGAGAAGCGTAGAGATCGTTAGCAAGACAGAAGTATTCATGCCAGAAATGCTTACTACTACTAGCAAATCATCTGGCTACGTGCCTGGTGTTTTTCAGTATAAATCAGGAAATGCATCAAGTTCAACTCACTTGAAAACATTCACTTCCGCCAGAACGCCAAACATCATCCAAAATCAAGAAATTTCGACGTTCTGCATGGTTCATGGCATCTGTCTTCCTTAGTGGAATTAGACGTTTTTTGTGCTGTTGAGCGGCACTGAAATTAGTTTTCACTAATTTCATTAAAACACTGTTTTGACTTTTGGTTGCTGTTAATATCAACAAAGCAGGTGTTAGCTTAGTTTTCAGTATGCTACAAAGGCAGCAAAATCAAATTAGGGGATCAATACAACACTTGAACAAAAGCATTAGCATGCACAAATCCTTACATAGGAACTCAAAAATCTATAAAGGGAAAATATAACTTACCCGCTGATCATATTGCCGGTAACCCTGTAATTTTTGAATGTCATCTGAATATCAGTGCCGGGCACTCCGAATTGTACGGAGGCACGATGTGATAGTACTGCTTGTGAAATGGCAATCGCCATTGCTCCCAGCAAGTCGAGCGCAGCTCACAAGGGCCAATTTCAAAGTATTTTCGGGGAGGGGCCTATTTCGATGTGCAGCGCAAAAAGGAAGGTAAATGTCAGCTGTGTTCGGGGGGACTGGTGGGGCGGCGCGCCTAATCCACAATGAGCGTTCCGCCTCGGCCCCATACATATTGCATGTGGCGCTTGGGGACCCTTAGCCATACCTTTGATACCCGATCTGGTCGCGGTGCTGCTCCAGCGGCTTCAGTGGCGGTCGCTTCCACCTTTGGTCTACCTACTACCTTACCTAGCTGTTCAAAGATTAGGTTTTCTCACTCAATTTGCTGTGTTTTAGGGGATTTTCCATTGCATAGAAATTTTTATGACTATTAGATTTCAACGGAAAATTCTAGAAGTTTCAAGAATCACTTACTGTCCATTGGAGTTCAACGCCGAATAGCTGATGCTGGCACAGGCCATAGCGACCTATGCGATAGCGGGCCGCTCGAGCTAAGGCTGAGGATCCGTTCCGACAGGCCTCAGAGAATTTCAGAGGAGCGTACGATCCTATGGGAACGATCCCACGAACAAGGACGACAAGAGCGTTAATCGATGCGGCTGACTGCTGCTGCCCGCTGGCTGTGCGGATAGATGGCAACGTCGCCACTCCTCAGGTGGAACACACACACCACGGCTTGAGGCGATTAATGTGCTTAGCTTAGCCCTACTTACGCGATATGGAGAGCCCCCGTGCCCTGTTATGGACACACCCGCTCACGTTCTCCTTCTCTTCCCCTGCTCAGTCTTGGCTGACACGACGTTCTTCCGGAGTAGGTGACGGTGTCAGCCGAACTTCTATCCGCCACCTCTGACATGCTCCAGCGATTCGCGAAGCAGCGTAAATCACAGAGATGAGGTGGCAACTGCTCATTTCCGTTTCGGACCCCTATTTCAATCATTTATGCTAACAGCTACCCTTTAACTGATAATGCTGCAATGCATAATCATTGCGTTATAATGGGAATGTCCAAAGATTGCCAATAGCAATTTCCTTTTCGCGATGATCCATCCTATCCATGATAGCCTGTATAGCTTGTATATTGACTTAGATTTCTCCAGAAAGGGAAACCTAATGTATTCTTGACATGCAACTTCTGGAAAAAAAAGCCTCTAAGTGGATAATGCCGCGTATAATCTATTTTGAATTACTTGCACTTTTTTCTGATTTATCCGACTAGAGAGCCTTCCTTATACTTTCTTTTGGATATACAGCATCAGTACGCAATGAAATAGTTTTACTGCATATCCAGGTTTTGCAAACTCTTCTAGATTCTTTTCAATTTCGTGCGTGTAAGTATCAATCGAAAAACTTCGTCAGAATGTAGTAAGTGGGAAGTCATGTCTTCATGTAGAGTAAATCCAAAGCATAAAAAAAGTTCTACGTCAAGCTTCTTGTTGAGGACTACACTACTTAATTATTCATTCATATAACGCAAATTGTCGTGCTCTTCCGGACTTTCAAAAAAAAAATCCAATTGAATAATAAGAAGGTGAGATATTCGATTTACATTCCTCGCAGTTATTCAATGACAGGGACTAGGTAAAAGGTACAAATTAGATTTTGGCTTTTTGTACTACTTATTGAAGTCTGTTAGTAAAGTCTGTTTTGAAATCTTAAAATTGATCAGATTAATCGAAGTTTATGTAAGACATCAATTTACTACTTGAAGCGGATGCGAATGGATGGTAGTTCCAGAAGTTTATACTCTTCTGAGAGTGCGAATCGATAAAAGTGCATGATCACTAGTAAAACAAATTACGGTTCTAGCACAAAAACGCAGAGGCAGGTGCGATAGTGCAGAAGTAAAAGCCTAGCGATTGGAAAATAGCAGTACCTGAAGCAGGTGTTTCAAACTTGAGAGCGAGAATAATTCTTGAAGTGAAAACTCTGAATTGCGAGAGCAGTACCAGAGCAACACTTGGGGATTGTACCGCAGCACACGCGCCGAGCGATGGTGGTCTCGACGACGAACGAAGAGGGCTTCAAGTGGATAGGGCACAGTGTAGGCACACACAAAACGCGGACGATTGCGCGGAGGCATCGCGCCCGGCTGCGAGGGCACCGAGATCTTGCGACAAGCGAAACGCTGTTGTTTGGCTCCAAGAACTCTCGCGCTCACGCTCGTCTTAGGTTTTACACTTTCGCTCATCCTACAGGTCCTTTGGCGCTCTACAGGTCATTCTACACTACTTCCGCTAGACTATATTAGAATCCCGCGGGCATTCGCAAGAATTCACATTCTATGGCGTACTTTTTCGTGGTTGAACAATTGGCAATATTAGCTCGTAACATGAACCTTGTTGTTTTTTCTCCCTCCACTGCAAAAATCTAGGAACTTTAGCCATTCTCGTAATGTGCAATGAGGAAGCAGAGGATCATCTAATGGCATCACTTTCATCTTCACGGCCTGTGTTACCGCAAGGGCGAAGGATTTCTGTACTTTTTTCGAACACGCTCCCATTCTTTTCCATTTTTCTCTTCTATGGATTTCCAAAACCATCAATTGCTGCTACGAAAGCATTTAGTAAATGGAGCGGTTCAATAACAAAGTCGGAATTCAAAAGAATTTGGAAAGTTTTAAAATACCAAAAATTTTGATATTCGATATGCCTGTATCAAAAAGCTTCAGCCTTCTAATCAATTTGAGAATGAGCAGAATTTTTCAAGGAAATATGAGGAATTTTTCCTGGAGAAACAAAACATGTTGCCTAATTTTTTTTAAGCATTCTTGCAATTTCTACCCTTTAACGCATTGACGACCGCTTGGCACACCATGTGTGTCAAGCTATGACTATCACGTGGGACCGCTTGACACACATAGTGTGTCAAGACTTTAACTTCGTTTTAAAATAACGATTATTTTATTACAAACTCATTTCAGAAGTTTTCTTTTGCTCTTAATCTAGAAATGACTTCTATCTTCTTTGTCAGCCCTTTACAGCTACTGTAAATATACTGTAGATGGCAGTATGCGCGATTTTATCTGAAAAATGCTCACTGGTCCGTGGAAGGTCTTGGTCCCAAGATGCAGACATCAAAAATTTGCGTGGTCGTCAATGTGTTAAACCTACGATGGACTCATGCAGTATACATATGTGTGAAATATCGTCACAAATTCATTGAATTTGAAATTCCTTGGAAGATTTGATTCAGCAGAATTTACAGCTTGTGCTAAGGAAATTTTTTACTGCCTAATACACGCAAATTATTTTTTGTGCGAATCTTAACATGACTGATTAGGTACTTGCGTGACGCTTTAGCAATATAAATTATAGATTTGTTTATACAATACATGCAGAGTGCCAGTATTTAGTGGATATGATATGATAAACTAGCTTTCAATTGAAGCCGAAGTTTAGATACAATACGACCAAATGCAAAGCTGCTTTTTTAGATAATGAATATGTAGCTGGCAGAAAAATATGATGAGTCATACGGGTCACTCATTACAGTACGACAAAAGATTGTAAGCAGAGTTGTAATTGACAGTCAATCCGATATAAAGGTGAAGGGGCAAGAGTGCGAGAATATCAAAGTATTGTAAGAGTACATAAGTAAATCTTCACCGAAAGGCATCAAACATGATGAGGTACTATTGTTTTATTTTCTATGTTGTTATTGTTGTCTTTTTTTGCCGTAAGGTCGCCTACATAATGATGGAACTGGATGTGGCTGAGATGCTTAGTAATATGTAGTGGTTGGACAAGTAGTCCATATTTTGCCATTCGAGTTCACTGACTATAGAAACTTGTCTAAATTTTCGGCTTCTACCGGTTTTGAGATTAAGCAGAAGATCATAATGCTTCTTGTTGTCCCGTAATGATATGTAGTCCAAAAGAACAAGGTTGGTAAGAGCATGTTCCAAATCATGACAATCATTTTAGGTTCTTTGAGAAATTCTCGACAGAAAATTATTTTGCAGTTTGCATATTGAAGTTGCACATCTGTAAAATGAGATCAAGAAATGTAGGCTCCAATCGCGCTGGGTCGATTCCATTAACTCGCTGAACATACAAAAACTCTTAAAGAAGTGCTCATAAAACTAATAAATGATGTAATGCAGGTACACTTATCGATTGCTTAGTTGTAAATCAATTGTTTCTCCTAAAAGCACTCGTTCTTGTGCAGTTTTTCCTCTGCTAAGAATTCTATTCTAAGCAAGGACTCTGATTTTGTTGAATCCTTCCTTATCAGTAACAAGAAAAAGCTTCAAAGTATCATCAAGCCTGTAATTCCAGATTTGCAATGCAAATGATTCGTGTAGATTTTTGACGGCGAAAGAGAGATAAACAAGCAGTGCTTTACGATAAAAACTTCATAAAATATCATAGCAGCAGAAGTTTGCAATATTATGTCAACACTACTCATATAAGGACGACCGCTACGTTCTTTGTTTATCGACCTTTAAAAGTACCAATGATAATGGAAATTGATAGGCCATGCAACAGCTTTGAGTGGCTAAGGGACATTTTTTCCGGTTCAAAGCTGCTCTAGTTCTTCAAAATAAACCTTAATAATCCACCAATACCATAAAGTCACTGATAAACCATACTCACAATTTGGATCAATTGTTGTGGCCTGAGTAGCTCAGCATGAAAGATCCATTTTATTATTGTAGTGTTCTCAATTGATTTCACTCTCGATTATATCCTTTCCCAATCTAGCACATTTCCTCACATTTACAGAAAGAGAGCAAAAGAATGAAGTTATCAAAGTGTTTATCTTGATAATTTTATGCTACTTTTATTGCTTTTTTAAAACGCCTTTGCTAGCAAAGCTGGTGACTGTGGTGCGAGGTGTTACTGATAGGAACCTTGATCATTTAGAGATATCCCCAAAATGGAACAGTTTGGCGAAGCACTAAAATTAGCTTGAGTGACCCTGGCTGAGCTTTTTTGGAAAGCCATAATACAACACCAACTCGACACTGCTAACGTAATCGGGCTGGTAATGTTTG